ACAATTCATGCTTCCAGACAACCTCTTTTGGTGCAACTAGAGAAAGAGCCAGGCTATATGCCAACACTTAAAGCCCCAAGACCAAGTATATCATTTATCAGGATCTCTAAACGCTTTGCCTAATGAGTCGTCAAAATTCTTACAGATCTACTTCATGACGAACCAAGAGGAACAAGCCATGTAGTGTGGAAGCAATGTTCTAGTGTTGAACAAAGCTTTCATACTAGAGCTGCAAGACATGCTTCACAACAGTAACACATACATCAGGAGCTTCAAGTCTTGGGGGAGATCAAGTAGGAACTGTTGCCTGGTCACAAGCCACAGGACTGCCATGATCTCATAGACAGGGTTTTCCACCTCAAAGTTCTTAAACTGATGCAGTTTTTCACCAAAAATCATGTCTTTAGCAAAGTCTGTCTATACACAGTGCATCCAAGCAACTTTGAATGTTACTTCCTAAGGCTTTTGCTGCACACTGTGAGAGGCCCAACAAGCTATAAGGATCTTAAAACCTTTGATGACGAAGTCTGCGATATGGTCCAAAAAGCATGCCACCGCAGGGGTCTCCTCGAAGACGATGCCCACTGGAACCAGTCATTAGAAGAAGCAGTCTACTATCAGATTGAGGGATTTGTTTGTGATCATGCTGCACACCTGTGGTTTGTCTAATCAAAGACATCTGTGGAATAACCACAAGGAAAGCATGTCAGAAGACGTTTTCCATCAGCTACGCAGTGCAAATCCACAAACTGGGTTGGACTTCAGTGATGCCATCTTCAACCAGGCCCTCATACATTTAGAAAACAAGATAATGGCATTGGGGGGGAAAGGCATTGCCGCACTATAGTCTGCTCTGTACTCACAGAACAGAAGATGTCACTTCGGCCAGAGAAATTTTGCGAAATCAACTATAACCAAGATGAAATGCAGCACTTTATCCAGGAGAGAGAATCTACCATGACAGAAGATCAAGCTGCAGAGTATCAGAGTATTCTTCACGATGTTGACCACAATGAAGGAGGCATTATCTTTCTTGATGCACCTGGTGGTATAGGAAAAAATACCTCATCAATCTCACCTTGGCAAGATTTGGTACAGGGGCCAAATTGCACTTGGTGTTGCGTCCTCTGGTATTGCAGCAACCCTCTTACAGGCGGCAGAACAGCTCACTCTGCCTTCAAGCTGCTACTGAACCCTTCTCATACAGAGGATCCAGTATGCGATCAAGAATGTTACAGCTGCAGCCACATTGATGAAGGACAGTAAAACCATCATAATAATAATACTTGCATTTGATATAGCGCTTTTCACGTCTTCTAGACGTCCCAAAGCGCTTCACAGAATATACTGTAAAGTGAATTGACTATATATTTGTGGGCGAAGGCAGCAGCCAATTGGACTGAAAATGACCAATTTATTATTGGTTTTTTTTGGAGGGATTATTATTAGGCGTGAATGCACCATGTCGCACAAGCATGCCGTTGAGGTTCTGGTTAGAATACTTGAGGACATCAGAAAAAACACCCAGTCAATGGGAGGGATGTCACTTATTTTGTTGGGAGACTTTGCCAGGCAATACCTGTCATACAACATGGTACCCGTGCTGAATGCCAGTCTTAAGGCTTCCAGACTGCGGGCATGTGTGGAGAAGATGAGCCTCAGGACAAACATGCAAGTCTATCTTCATAATAATAATCCTCGCATTTGATATAGTGCTTTTCATGTTTTCTAGACGTCTCAAAGGGCTTCACAGCATATACTGTAAAGTGAATTGACTGTATATTTGTGGGTGAAACACAGCATCCAATTGCACACAGCAGTGTCCCACAAACAGTCGTGGATTGAAAGACCAATTTTTTTTATTATTGTTTCTTTTCTTGAGGGATCATTATCGGCATGTGGAGAAAGGAAACTTGCCCAAGGTTTCATCCTGCCGGGAATCGAACCCAGGTCTCTCGCTTGAGAGGCGAGTGCTCGAACCACTGAGCTATGGGACTCCACGTGACAGTTCTACAGCTGGGGCATATGCCAACCTCCTTCTGGAAATTGAGGATGGCAAAATTCCAGTGGATCCAACAGATGGCCAAATTCAGATCCCCAAAGGTTGTGGGACCATTGTGCAAGATATAGCAGAGCTGAAAAACAAAGTTTTCCTGAACTTCAGCTATAATTACACAAATCATAAGTAGTTGTGTCAACAAACAATCCTTGCTCCTAAAAATGAGTCTGCCATCGAGATCAATTTCTAGCTACTCACTGACATCCCTGGCCAAGAAACTGTGTACAAGTCCATAGATACTTTTTCCTGATACTGTCGACTACCCAACTGAATTTTTAAACTCTTTGGAACCATTCAGTATGCCTCCACACAAGCTCATACTAAAGCTTGGATGCATAATCATGCTGTTGAGGAATCTAGATGCACCAAAACTATGCAATGGCACAAGGTTGGTGGTAAAGCAGTTGGTCACCTAATAGAAGCAACTATTCTGACTGGTCAGTTCAAAGGGAAGATGTATTCATTCCTCGCATCCCACTGCTCCCAAGTGACTGCCCTTTTGAGTTCAAAAGGCTCCAATTCCCTGCTCAAATGTCCTTTGCCAAGTCAATTAACAAAAAGCACAGGGCAGAGCTTAAAGGTTGCTGGCCTTTTCTTCAATACACCCTGCTTTTCCCATGGATAATTCTATGTTGGATGCTTACGTGTGGGTTCATCTCAAAACCTGTACATTATGGCCGAAGGAGGAAAACTGCAAATGTCATCTACACGGAAACCTTGCAATACCATTCGAGGACCTGCCTATCACACAGTAAACTCCTTTGGTTAGTGTAGCTTTGATAAGATCCTCTATCGTTCATGAACTATGACTCTTTGATAGGATCTTCTAGCATTGATGAGCTATGACCTAAACAAGCTCATCACACATGTATGGCAGTTTTGCTTATGGTGTACACACAGCGTTTATGGCATGTCAAATGGTTTGTGAATGGTATCACTGAAATTTACATTCCATATAGGATTCTTTGTTTGCAACGGTAGCTGCAACGGGTACAGCTAGTATCTGATAATTGCTCTATCGGGGGTCTATGTCACAGATTTGGAACTTTGTTAATATTAGGTCCTCCAGATTTGCACTCACACTCCGGAGTTAAACAACCTTCTTACATTCATGTTATTACTCTTACTACTTTGAAATCATTGGTCTGGTCACTTTTCAGGCTTTTATTTTTCTTCATAACCTATATCCTGGAATCATCCTGATCCTCCCCCTCTCTTTATTATTTCCAATACATCAATGACCCGTAGAGATTAGGATCCACACATTCAAATATGGTCTTGCAATGATTTCTATAAGGTCAGAATAACTTGTCTTGATTTCCAGTCAAATAACCCAAGATGCATTGCAGTGTACCAATTGGCCAGTTTGAAAAATGGCTCTACATTGAGTCAATGCAGAACAAAAACTCACCATTGGCCTTCTTAAAGAATTCACACATTGATAACCACCCATTATGTCCACTTCATTATTTTTCTAACCTTGATTTTAAATGTAAATTAGGCTCTGATGCCTTAATTGAAAGTAGCAATGAACAGCTGATGCAATTCCAGGAATACTTTGCAGAAGTCCAATTTTTCCTGATAAAGCTTCTTTGAAAGATACAATTGAATGTCAGCAAGATGGAGGCTCTCCTGATTGGCTTACACCAGTGCCTCCGCACCTCAGGCACTGGCAGCATCAGCATCCGCAGATGTACACTCCACCTCACCAAGCCAGTCAGGAACCTAGGCGTCTTGTTTGACCCACAACTGTCCTTCCTCTCCCACATCCATGCCATGACCCACTCTGTCTTCCCCCACCTCCATAATATTGCCGACTCCACTACTGCCTCACCCGTCAGGCCGCTAAAACCCTCATACAAGCCTTCATTACATCTAGGCTCGACTATGTCAAATCCCTGCTTGTCGGCCTTCCCAACTCTTCCCTCCACAACCTGCAGATTATTCAGAACTCTGCAACTTGTGTCCTCTCCCGCATAAGGTTCCGTAACCCCATCACACCCCCACCTTCGCCTGGCTCCCCATCCCTCAGAGGATTGAGTTCAAAATCCTCGCCATCACCTTCAAAGCCCTCCATGGGCCCTTCACTACCTTGCTAACCCCTTATCAACCTGTCCGCTCCCTCTGCTCTGCTGGCTCTGGCTGTAAGTGAATTAATGCTCTGGTATTAGGAGATACAATTAAAATTCCACTACTGGTGCCAAGTGAATGGAATGTATTCAAAAGAGTGAAGCTTTACAATGGAAGTCTTGCCCAAATGACATGGAATCATCAAAAATACAGCCTAACGCAACAGAAAAGATTCATGTTCCAAAGGTAAAATATCTAAAATTGTAAAAAACAAAAGTAAGCAGCAATTAAATATTATTAAATAATTAGAGCTGGTTTCTATAGACTCACAATCAGCAGAATTACAGAAATGTAAAATGTTGATTCTTTGAAAAATACTATAGGTTGGTTGCTGTGTAAATATTTAAATGTGTAAACTCTATTCTTCAAGGTGACATTGAGCAATATTTACTAGAGTTGCCAAATCAATGACTCTCGGTATCGTTAGCAGAAAAATTCAGTGAGAGATTGGGAGGCAATTTGTCTCCGAGTTCTCTCGGGTTGTTAAGATGTGAAATCTATTACCACAAGTAGCTATTGAGGCTGATAATAGAATCATTCAGAAGCAAGCCAGATAAATACCTGAGCAGTAATAACATTAAGTAATGTGGGGAGAGAGCTGGAAAGTGGGAGAAAATAAAATTTAGAATAACAGGTATCAATGGACAGAAAATGCCATATTTGCTTTAAAAACATATTGTAACAGGTTAGTTTGAAGCTTAAAAGTGTATGAGTACTAAAAATGTTACATAAACTCAACAATATGCAACGTAATTCCCTCAAGTGACAAGTGTACATCTCGAGCAAGCAGGCTACATCAAACCTACAAAGGTGTCGTTTCCGTAGATAAAATTTATTCCATCCTAAGTAAGTGCTCTTGGAATACAAGTTATTGCTCTATCCTTATCAACAGCAGTTTAAACATCCCCAGTTTACAACTTGTTTTCCTCTTCATAATTTGAGAATCATTTTATTGATCATGTGGCACAGTAACAGGTTTCTTAAATGCACATATGGTTGAATGTTCAATCTTCACATTTTTTTAAACATCATGGACACTCAAACATTTTATAAAATCTAGTTTATTAATTATTTTCCCAATCAATTCAATATCACTCTTGTTTGTAGCTTGTCAAACAAAGTTTCAGGAACAATTGAAGTGCGGCAATGAAACATTGTGTTTGCTTAACTCTTGCAAAGGTTCAACTGGTCCAACTGTCCATTGAGGTTATTAATATGCAGAGTAAAACTTGTAAATAGATTGTAATTTACAAGCTTCTGACATTTGAAAGATGGATTGTGAATGTATTTAATAAGTAGCTAGCGGGAATAAATTCAGTACTATGAATGTTTGACTTACGTGACAAAACTTTACAGAAACTTTTGCCCATTCTATTAAAACATCAGTTCACATCAGTTTTGTTCCAATAAGACTAAAACATTGTATTCATCCACCACACTACTACCAAGGAACCTGCAGACTGATGTATTCTCATCAGCTTGGTATGCAAACATTTATTTAAAACAAAACTTTTAAAAACATGTTGTAGGCACTATTCTCTTTAACTGGATGCCATGAGAGACTGCTGCAAAGCACTCAAAATTTCACAAGCCCTTCCAGCTATGCATGACTGATAAACACCCTAAAGGGCAGCCTGCTATTTATATCCAAGAGGGGCCGTGATTTAACCAGCAGCAAATTTCAGTCAAGATTCCTGAGATGCTTCTTTGGTCTGCGTAATACTTTAATCTTTCAGCGGCTTACGCTTGTGCTTCTATTTGGACTACATTTAAAGTTAGAAAAATGAACTTCAAATATCACTCCAGAACTTTTAGAAATACGTTATTGTTCAATTGCCATTAATACCTCATTTGAGATAGGGGCCTGACAATATTTGAGAGCTTATTTCCAATTACATTTTGAGGTATTTGCAATTTATCTTCAAATGTCCACAAGGTCCACTTTTCTCAAGAGTTGTTATTTTGACAGACTGGTGATATTTTCAAAACCATGCAGAACTGTATCTGAGTGATTAGGAAAAACTACAATTTGCATTCCAGTGATGCACCAAACCAGTCAGACGTAATTGATTTTATCTTTTTGGGGCTGAATTGTGACCATCAAACTATTGAACATTGTGATTAAAGTAAAAGTAAAGAAAATGATCGGCAGTGCTCCCCCTCCCCCCAACAAATCATAACAGATTTATGTTGCAAGTTGAAAGATTGAACGTTTATCCATTTTCCTGGAAATAGATAATTTGCAGTTAGTGACTTCATCCACTGGCATTGCAATAATATAATATTGTGCATTAACGATAAAGGCAAGACTAATGTGCTCATTAGTCATTACCAACAGAAATAACCCCAGGACACACTGTACTATCCATCTCAACCTCCTCCCGATCTAGACTGATTCTGCATTTAGACCTCAACACTGCACGTCAACAGGATTGAGCGAAGCTGAAGCTCAAGCGTTGTAAAACAAAAAGGGAAGAATGGTGTTCAGGGAGAGGGAGGAAAGTGTTCACAATGCAAGATCTATTGATCATGTTCTCCAACTGATCAACATGCAACTTTATGTCTGCAACAATCCTGAAATGTATTTTGAGAATGCTGCCCAACTTGATATTGCAACCTATTAGAAAGAGAATGTTACAGGTGGGAGAAATTAGCCAATTACAGGACCTAATAAGCAGCAAAACTCAGTCTTTCACAACTCTCACAAAAATACACTTTAGACAACTCTCACTTGGTATTTATTTGGTCAGGAGGGAAAATAAATACTGGTGCAGTAGACAAACAAACATCTTTTGAAGAGTTAATACTCTGTATTAACAGCATGGAGCAAAGGCATCACTGAACTAGTATCCAGATTGCATGGGTTGAAAACATGTTCAGCAAGCAGAATACTTGGGAGAAAAGTATCCTCTATAAATAAAAAGTGAAAGGTAACACATTTTAAATTCAGCCCCAAAAAGATAAAATCAATTACTGACTGTTTTGGTGCATCACTGGAATGCAAATTGTAGTTTTCTCTAATCACTCAAACTGTTTAAGATACAATTATTTAGCTATAAAACATGTTGTGTTCACAATATTCATATTTATCATTGTGCCTGGCACACTAAGGGAGATGAATTCCACATAGTGTATTTAAAGTAGCAATCTCTAAAACATTGATAATATTTGGGCATAAAAACTGAATATTAACTACAAATATTATCTTAACTGTCTAAACGATTTAAGAAATGTAATTAAAAAATTGGGACAGCTAGGTATCTGACACCTGTAGAAACCCATCATCATGCTTGAGTATCCAAACCAAACTGAGATTTCCACACATCTCACCCACACATGGCAATTCCAAAGATTGCTGTCATTGTCATTGTAATTTTACTCTGATTTTTTTAATCTTACAATTGACATTTCTGGTTTACTCGTTTTAAATATCTGGTTATTTTTCTGTTTGGTTGGTCCCTGCCTTTTAACACTAGCCTCTGCTGGTTGCAGGTTTCCAGGGCTGAGTGCTCGCTAATGCCACTGAATAAGTGCCTAGCTGCGTCAGTGCTTATCCTGCTGTATTTGCTTGCATGTATTTTAACAACCTCCATTCATCAGGTCTTTTCCATTCCTCATAAAGGCTAATGGTTCAACCTCTTGCAGCTTGGCATTTTCTCGGACCTCTTCAAATGTGTATTCCTTCAGGATTTTTCCATCTTTGAAAACTGTAACCAAAAGGTCCTAAAAATATTTCAAAAAAATTGAAAATGTATAAGGCTACAAAAACAATTTGCTCCTGAATTTCAAAAGCATATTCAATAGGTTCTATTGAAGGATTCTATCCTAAACTTTACTCTGGGACGCTGTATAAATGAAAGTTGTTGTTACTCCCTTTCAGATGCAGAACAACCTCTTGTGCTTTTTACTAATTTCCTGCATTTGCAATTTATTGTATGCTGGGGTTCTAAGGCAAATTGGGATAAACTCATTCTCTCTCGTTCTCTCTTTAGCTACCAATTTTAGACTACTTTACAAAGTAATCGTTAGGCTAAGCTAAAAACTGTGCTTAATTATACATCTATTCAGATTTACATAAATTTACCTGAAAGAAGTGCACCACTCCACATTAAGGAAAGACAGACACATAAGATGGAAGGATTTTATGTGTACAGTATTTGACAACCTCCCTTCACTTCTCTATTTTGTTACTTGCAGCATCCAACCAGTACAAAAGGCAACAAGTTCCATTTGGTGACACTTAATAAAAAAGGGGATGTGTGGGTAAAGTAGCCCCACATAGTCTTTTTACTGGTGGAGGGCCAAGTTTGAATTTAGTACAAATTGACAGATGACTGGCCTCTCTCTACTTACTGTTCTCTGGCTGTTCATAAGGTCCTATATAAAATGAGACTGGATTGTCACATGGCAGGTCTGACTGGGTGTGAGCCCAATCTCTACTAACAAGGATCCATAAACAATTAAATGAATCATCAATTAAATTTGGGAATACATTTGGATTTGGGAGGGGAATACATTCCAGGAAAATGGGAGCAAGATTCCATGGCTCATTGAAATAGCAATGACGCGGTGGTCCCTACACCTGATACAAGTTTGTAAAATATCCTTACCTCCTCAGGTTGCCCCTGCCCAGATTCTATGGTTTCAATGTTTCCATCAGAATTTCTTCTCAGGGACAACTGGCCCTTCTTCGAATTTTTGGAAGGATCTGTCACAGGCTGTTTATAGACATCCAACTAGAGATAATATAGCAATTACCATTACTGAATCCACAACAGCATTCTTGACTGTTTATTTTGCAAACTATCATATATTTAAATGAGTGAATCAACAGTGTATTAATGGTTTCACTTCTAACAGTCTTAAATGACAAAAGTGGTCAAAGTGTAATTTAAAATTCAAATATGAACACCAGATTCAAGAAAAAGCCAGACTGAATGTTTGATTACATTTGTAAGCATATTAGAAGTGAAACTCACTGATAAGTTTAACAGCTTTGATACTTGTGTGCATAAAGTAAATTGGAAGAAAAAACATTAAAAATGTCACAACGAATTGGGAAACGAGCTAACTGGGAAACAAAGTATAACTGGTAGCATTTTAAGGTTGTCCATTTGTTAATTGGAAATGAGAACAGCTCTCCAAGTGAAATGGATGGAAAGACTGATTTTTTAATGGCTTCCAATCAAGATGCAAGGATGAGAAAGCTCACGTAGAAACATAAATGCGACTCAACTTCAATTTTTCCAAACCAAAGTAGGAAGCAGTAAATCTTTGAACACCATTTTAACATTCAGATCATTTTAGGATTGAGGAGTTATTTGTTTAGTCTATCTTTACCCCTTTTCCATCCTGTTCAATGTAACTGCATTTGAAGGAGCAATTCAGGGTGTCCCTGTTAAGCTTTTGAAGAAGGGCTCCACCACATCCAAAACTAACATTTTCTGTACTCCACATCTCATCTTTTAGTTTTTTCAGAATCTGCAAAACAGAGAAAAAAAATCAGATTTCATATATTCAGCTCAGTAGAGGAAGTGCAATATACCTAACAATATACACACACATACACACACAAAAAACATTGCAATACAATTCACATTTATATAGCACTTTTCATCAGGACCACCAAATACCTCTCCTACAGAATGTAGATCTATTCCATCTCCTTGAATGAGTCGAATGTAAGAAGGCAGCAGTTTATAGAATTTACAGTTGACAGTACTTCCAAATACTTCTTCCAGAATCCTCAAGATCTGCAAATATAATGAAACACAATCTACTATCACTAATTTCAACTGAATAATGTCTGGGTGAGCTATTTATTCAGATGAGTAATTGAAGGCATTTTAAAAGATAGAAGGGGGAGAACAGCAGGAAAGAAGGCTTGGGAATCGGAAACTGAACAGAAGGATTGGGTAGAGCAAAAGGCTGAACAGATCAGAGGTAGCCATAGCCAAGTCAGTGTTAACAAGAGCGGGCACTGGAAAGAGTGGAGTCAGAACCTGAACAAAGCAAGGATTGGGGAAAAGAGACTCATGGGTTGAAAAGAGTGAGATTCAGAGGCATATGTTGAACAGAATGAGGAACAGGGGGAGTTGAATCTGCACCTGTCACCCGTAGATTTGAGCTATTGAACTCAGCTGTTGCTTTTGTACTGGTGAAGTGTAATTTTAAGACCTCATGAGCTTCAGCAAGTTCATCGTTATGGGATGTTACCTTGTCATTGTGAAAGACTTTTGATCTAAAGTACTTTTTCTTTTAGGAATTATTTCTAAACTCTGGTTATAAATTCATTACAGCTGACAGCAAAATCTCTGCGAAGCCCTTTTGAGACAATGACACGATATCAAATGCAAAGATTATTATATTATTTAGGAGAAACGAACTGGGCTGCACCACTGCAGCCATTAGTCTGAACACTTCAGAAGCAGTTAGCAGACATTAGTCAATGATTATTTCAATTAATATAACTTGGATTTTTTTCAATCTTGGTTTTCAACTAGAGTTCTAACTCTGTACTAGCCAAGTTTCTGCAATACTGGGTGACCATCTGAACAGAGTATATGTTTTACTAGGGTACAGCTTTTGAGTCTTTTTTAGAGGAACACGATGCAAAATTAGGGTACATAGCTGTAAAGCTAGGAGATAATTGATTTTCAAAGTTATCAGTGCAAAGTGAAGAAAGTAGGATAGAATTCTCTATATTGAAGAACGAGTGACTGGAGGATTTCCACATGTTTCCATATTCCTGCTGAATTTATACCTACATTAGCAGGGCATTATATTATGTCAGTGTGAAAAAAAGTAACAAGGATATCAGCTTTCTAACACTAATTTCTAAGGTACCTGAATAACTGTCTTTGCAGGATCCCCTGAATCAGGTCTTATAACCAGCATTGTGTCCTTGGTCCTTTGCTGAACTTGATGCTTCAGGTCATGTCCCCAAATTTGTTTGCAAGCATGGAAAACATCGTAACTGTCGCTGACAATTGAAATAGGAGTTGTGGGGAACTGATCCAGCAAATTCTCAAATGCTTTCTTTTCGCCATCCCTTCCCCAAGAGATGATAGTACTGTGAAAGGAGAAAATGGAGAAAAGCCGTTGGCTATTCTAAAACTAATTAGACAAAATCACATTTATTCACAAACAGCAATCCCTGGCCATGAGATCAGTCTGGCTTCATTATTAGTAATATCAGGGTCTCCATCTCCCAGGCATCGGAAATGTGCAGATTTCATTGCGATAGAATAAAAGTCAACTAGAACGGAAGTAGCTTCAAAAGAGCTAATAGAGACTTCATTATGGCAGAAATACAATACAATTTACATACCACATCAAGATATCTAAAAGCACTTAAATATTTTATGACAATGTTATAAATGTACCATGCATTCCTAACAATGACTTAAACAAATTATTGCAAATTGACCTCATCACAACTGTACTATTGTGTTGATATATCAACACACATGTTAGAATCTTGATAGTTTCAGTTCATTGTTTATATCTTCAGTGTACAGTTAGCTTGCCAGAAAAAATATATCTACAGATATTGTTTGAACTCCTAATGGTCAAATGGAACTTCTGAACTGTATTTAACTGAATAAATCATTTAAATGCAAGTCAGACGAAGGATGACTGCTAGATATGAAGACTAGATTCTCTATTAAAAGAAACTTGTAAAATCACAACGTTAGTCACTATTCTTATACTCAAACTAAAATAGTATCAGAAGCAGACATGCATTAAGGAGACTGATAGGGTTAATTAGACTTAAAATCAGGGTGTAAACAGTCGATTAGAATGAATTTCACTAATATTCTCAGCAAAGATTTATGTCTTAATAAATTTCTAATATCCAAGCACAAACACTCCCAAATTACAGTGCAGTAATGTTCTGATGAATATCGCATATTATTAGAAATTGTCCAAAAGCACTTATTACCTGTGTTCTGCTGCTGGAATTGAAAATCCAGCCATAGGGCAGCTGTAATATTCTTTAGCCATGATAAGTCCTGCCACTGTGTCTGTACTGTGGAAATTTATCAAATGGGCTGCACCTCCCAGAGCTGCAGACTGTAAGAAAAATGTTACAAGGATTCACACATTCTGTAATGGGATTTGAATCTACATCCATAGAAACAGAGATTAATTCAATTGATCAACATTTTCTACTCAAATTTTTTACACCACTCAATTTTCAGAGTACTTTGCTGGCCAGCACACCAGACAAAACTCGCTTTTCTTTTTGAATAGTGCCATGGAATGTTGAAGGTTGACCCGAAAGGCAGATAGGACCTTGGCTGAATATCTCATCCTCTATGAAATGGCACCTCTACCAAAGCAGTGTTACACAGCCTTACATAAGCTCATATGAATTTAATTAACCTAAAATTAAACAGCCTTCCAGCTAACTATTAAAATGCATCACACATAATGGTGAGATGAAAATATTCAGAAGTTGTTTTTACAATATTAGGTGTGTACATTTTAATTCTATCCGATTCCCAAATTGGGTTTGCTTTACATACCAAGAAGAATATTGTAAAGTGACTTGAGTCCTGTAGCTCAGTGGTTAGACTACTCGCTTTGCAAGCGAGAGACCTGAGTTCAATTCCAGGCAGGGCGAAACCTTGGGCAAGTTTCCTTACTCCACACATCTAATAATAATCCCTCCAAAAAAAACAATAATAAATTGGTCATTTTCAATATACGACTGTTTGTGGGACACTGCTGTGCCCAATTGGCTGCCGCGTTCGCCCACAAATATACAGTCAATTCACTTTACAGTATATTGTGTGAAGCGCTTTGGGACGTCTAGAAGACGTGAAATGAGCTATATCAATTGCAAGGATTATTATTATTATTAATTAAGTTGAATAAGCTAAAAGATAAGTACCAGAGCCAATCCTTGAAGTTTAGACTCTTCTTGTGTGATTCTCAATGTTTGTTCCTCAATGTTTCTCAAGATGCACTTTGCCACTTTCAACAAGTTAATGAAAATCAATGTGCAGGATAGTGTCGGCTGTAGAGTTTCCTGGGTCAGGAATTAACGATCCTACACAATGTGTAAAGCACTATGTGTGAGTAATTTTAAACAGACTGAGATCAACACTCATGAGATCTTGCAGTATTTTTAAAAAATGCAGGGTTCAAGCTGAATCAGTTTCTGTAGCCTAGGAGTATCGAGGTATGTGAACAACAGAACTTGGTAAAGATGCCCACTGAGAATTTGCTGGTGTAAGGCAGAAGTGACATCTGGTGGAATGGACCACAATGGCTGCCTGTCAGATTGAATGCCATCTCAGGTAATTTCACGAGATCTTCATGTACAGTAAATGCCAGAGGCATTCTAATGCCTCATATAATTAGTACCACATGCCTGACATTCAAGTTAAGAAAGACAGGCCACTATTATAGAACACAGAAAAGCAGGAAGAGGAGAATGCCATTCAGCCTGATGAGCCTGTTCCATCAGTTAATTAGTTCTTGTCATATATTAATCCCAATATCCTGCTCTTTAGTATCTCTGATACCCAAGTATAATAATAATAATAATCCTTGCATTTGCGCTTTTCATGTTGGGAGGACGTCTTAAAGCGCTTCACAGAACATACTGTAAAGTGAATTGACTATATTTGTGGGCGAACGCGGCAACCAATTGCGCACAGCAATGTCCCACAAACAGTCGTAGATTGTAGCGTGTGGATTAAGGAAACTTGCCGAAGGTTTCGCCCTGCCTGGAATTGAACTCAGGTCTCTCGCTTGCAAAGCGAGTGCTCTAACCACTGAGCTACAGGACTCCACGATCTGTCTAATATCTGTCTATATCAGTCTAATGTTTTTTTTAAAAAAAACCTATTGGTTCTCCCTCTATAGCCAGGATAGAATATTCCACATACAATAACTCTGTGCAAAGAAATGCTTCTTGCCATCTCAGTTCTGATTTTAAGACTACCCCCACTCTCCCACCCACCCCACCCCCCCCAGAACTAAAGCAGAAACACATGTACCTGCTACAGAAACTGAATCCATTCTCCAAAACATCTGGTGACCTTCAACAACCATCTCTGTGAAGGCAGATGTCCAGGAAGGAAAAGCCCAAATAAAACAGTCCACCTCCCCCCAAATAGTTGTAATAATAATCCTTGAATTTGATATAGCGCTTTTCAGACCTTCTAGACGTCTCAAAGCGCTCACACAGAATATACTGTAAAGTGAATTGCATTTTTGTGGGCGAAATGCGGCAGCCAATTGCGCACAGCAGTGTCCCACAAACAGTCGTAGATTGAAGTGACCGAATTATTATTGTTTTTTTTCTTGAGGGATTATTATCAGGGTTCAAAAGTAAGGAAACTTGCCCAAAGTTTTGCCCTGCCGGGAATCAAACCCAGGTCTCTTGCTTGTGAGGTGAGTGCTCTAACCACTGAGCTACAGGACTCCACGGACTCCACTGAGCTACAGGACTTATACGTATTTCGCGTCTCCAATATAATGCCCAGAAAAAACATTTTGAAAGCCTGAGATCAACAAATTAAAAATACTTTCCATTAAATGGGCTTCCTGGATAAATGAGAAAAATGTGTAATTGCATTCAATACAAATCAATTTTATGAATGGAAGGGGAATGAAAGAGAGAAATATCGAGTCCAGCAAGAGCAAAACATGTGGATTCAGTCAGTCAATTCCATGCACTCCCTGTAGTGGAGTCCAAGATGTAACAGACAGTGGGGCAGTGAAGAGTGAAAAAAAAGCAAAGCAGCTTGATTTAGATCTATTTGGTTATGGATATCACATTTATTTCCTTAAGCAGCTTGGCTGAGATATCAGCTGGTCAGTGTTTTATTGACTTGTTTATTTTGGGACTAGAAACACAGTCTGTCCCTAACTTTTCTATAAGTGGATGTATCAATCACTTTACCTAATGTACTTGCTACGGATTTACTCCCACATTTATAATACTGTACTGAAATGACTAAAAAGCACATGAAAAAAGATAAAATATATGCGACTTGCCTTACATGATGAGCTCCCATTGCCTAGACTCTGGCCCAACCCTTCTCAGATTAAGCAGTGCAAGGTCACCCACCCTTTGATTGAGCGTAGACTGATGTTGTTCTAGGTAGTACACATGTAGAAGGCAACATGACTTACAGGAAGTAGTGATATGTAAATGGAGCTTCAATCAACTTGAAACAATAATAAAACTGACCCTATTGCTGGCTTATTAGAACTAGAACTTGCCTGTCTGGTGTGGTACACAGCAGGCATGTCCTTCAGCAACTTTAGATCCCGGGCAAATAAAGCTGTACGAGTCATTTAGCATGTCACTGAAGATAAAGTTATTGCTGGCGCAGCACATACTGTTGTATCACTATCCATTGATCAAGTAAAGGAACTTAATGTAACTTAAGGTTAGTTCACTGCATTCACAAATCAATACGTTTGATATCACGAAAAGCATTCATTACAGCGTAAGTTTTGCCTCTACATATCTAAAGCATTTGGATGAGATGTGAAAACCAGATCCCATCTGCCTTCCTGCTCTGTCAGACATTAAAGATCCTATGCATAATCAACGTGTCCAGTGTCCATGTCAAAAATCTCTTCAAAAAAGCTCTTGTAACAGTCCATTTTCTCTCATAAGGCAGCTGTAATAGTTTATCAGGAACTATGCCAGTGGAACGGAACTAAGCAACTAGGTAAGACTACAAACAGAATTCCCTAGGCAACAGACCATGGCATAACCTTGAGCATATTTAATAGGAGACCTCTGAAATACCTGTGTGCTCTACCTAACATTTCCTATCAGTGTAAAGAGCGGCATTCCATTGTAAGCACCAAAACAGCAGAACAGGAGGACATAGGTTTAGGGTTACCAAGGGCAATTTCAGAACAGACACCAGGAAATACCTATTCAGCCAGAGGATAATTAATGATTTAGGTTATCAGCAAGGGTGTTTGAGGCCAGAATGCTGGACTCCTTTAAAAACACAGCTTGATGCTGCAATAAAAAAAATGGGAGGACGAGATCAAATGGACTGAAGAGTCTTGTGCGTCCAAATTCATCTGGTCATCTTGAAATTTACAATTAAAAATTAAACGGTCCCATTACAAGGAAGATTAAAAGCAATTAGAGTAGAGATTATTCATACAGAAATAATATTAAAACGGTACACCGTCTCCATAACAAAAACACAGTAAATAAATAGGATGAAATTGGATATCACACTAGACACACTTCCATACTAAAAATTACATATAACTTTTGTGTTCCCTGTTTTTGATCAGCTGGGTGCATGATACATGCGGAAATGACACCATGCCTAAAATTATCTAAACCAGACACATATGTATGCCTACACATGGACATTTTCCTTGGTCTGGAATGGAATGCATTCTCTCCATGGAGGGATGCACTCTGCTAATTGAGGAAAATATTAGGTACAACTTGTCAAGGTTGGGGACCCGACAGTGCGTATTGGGGTGAATGCTGGAGCTCACCCAGCCAAAGCCACATAGCTTGCCATCAAGAGCACTAACTGCCAAGCTTTCTGCTCTTTGTCCAGCTAGGACCACCCTATCCAAGATCCTAAACAAAGAAATGTAAATGCCAATGGCTTCATCTTGTCAATTATTTCAACAGCACAAGAGACCAAATTAACATGCACAGTTGAAGTTTCATTGGTTAATGACTATCTTTCTACTAATGTCAATTAAGCTTAGAGGTGCTTCCAAAAGCCATTTCCCTGGGTGAACATTTGGGTTTAAAATAAAATATTTTACAAATTTGCTTTTCAAAAAGGATTAGGCCACTTGCCCTTTGAGAAAAAGCCTGCAATATTCACTGTTTGACTACAATTTAGAGTGATTAGAGATGCTTAAACTTATATTAGCTTTGTGGCATGGTTGGCTAGTTTCAGAATTAGCTATAGTAATTACATCTTAAAGAAAGCAACTGCAGACTGATAAATCATGGGCCTGCAATTATCAGAAAGTCCAGAAGGACCAACAGCTGGGTCCCTTGATCCTATTATGCAGAATAACTTGCCAGAGTCACTACACTTTACAGAAAACTCTGTGAGGCGCTCAGAGACATTCTGATGCGATAAGGCCACCTACACAAGGAAATTTCCCTGTGTCTGAAATGGAATACACTCTCTCCTTTTACCCAATTCTGGAGAGCACTAGGCAGTTTAGTGAGTGCCAAGGTATGAGGCTCCCACCAGTGTGTGATGGGGTACTGCTGGAGTTCAACCTGCTAAAACTGCAGCTAAAACCTGCCATTGAGAGCACTGGCTAACAAGCTTCATGCAGCCTAGCGGGGGTGGAGCAATGGGCTCAAGGAACCCAGTGAGGAAAAGGAGAAAAGCTGTGCAGTCTGGATGGCAGATGGAACTGAGAAGTCCAACGAGCAGGACACTGGAAATATTGAGGCTGGAGATGAAACCGGTGTGGATGAGGGTTTCATATGAGTGGGGAGGAGGCGATATTCGCAGAGTCAACTAATTCGAGCAAATGAGCAATCCCATCTAATTTGATTTCATTGATAAGTTTTACCTATTGCCCAGCTAGGCAGATGCAGTTGTACAAATCAAGACATCAAGTATGTAGTCCTGTAGCTCAGTGTGTAGAGCACTCGCCTCGCAAGCGAGAGACCTGGGTTCAATTCCCGGCAGGGCGAAACATTGGGCAAGTTTCCCTTCTCCATACGGCTCTGTTTACCTAGCAGTAAGTAGGAACCTGGTTGTTAGTCGATTGGCGGATCCCTCTTCTGGGGGTAATAATTCCTTCAAATAAAAAATAAAAATTATAAACTGGTCACTCAATCCACGACTGTTTTTGGGACACAGCTATGTGCAATTGGCTGCCGCATTTCGTCGACAAAATACAGTTAATTCACTTTACAGTAAATTCTGTGAAGCACTTTGAGACATCTCAAAGACATGATAAGGCACTACATCAAATGCAAGGATTATTATTATATTATTATTGTGGGATCTAGAGTAAACAGTGTAGAGGGCTCTTGGACAATTACATGCCACTGCAAATACAAGAGAAAGTTGCACAATACCTCCTGAGAGGACACGCCTCTGTAACCAAAGTCGTGCAGTTTGAACTCTAAACCTTCCAAACTTCCAGACGTCGACATTAAATATGACGCTAGAGTCTTCTTAAATTTCCTGGATATGGTAGCAACAGTGATAGGATACCAGATCTGGACCAGTATTGTCTGTTGAGAGAAAACATTTTGATGATTTCCATTAAACAAGGCAAAAGATATGAACCATGATGATATTTATTTAGTGTACTGTGTTTCATTGAATTACAAAGTCACTGCAATACAAAATACCGAGCAATTCTGAAAATTTCCATTCTTAAAGCAGATACAAAGCACACTTACACACTGGTTAAGTTTCCTTACTTTACTTCAGGTTTTGACAGATTCAAAATCTAACAATGACCTTTTGAGTTGCCATAGAGGTATATCAGAAATATATATTTCACTATGGTAAAATTCAAAATGCTTTAATAACTTTGGTGCTTGTGAAAGCACATTGCTGAGACCGCTTATTTCACAAGATGGATTCAGATGAAGAAGGTCCTTTAGCCCATTTCTTATCCTTCTTAATGAGCGAGCAAGCAAGTGACCTTTGCACTAACAGGTACTAGAAACCCAGTGCACTTCCCTCTTTCTGCAAAAACAGACAGCACAACACGTTTCCATTGCTGGAATACTCATGAGATGAATTCCGTCTCACCCACTGCACACTACCCACATGCACAGGAAGTCAGCCAGTCTACATTGGAAGTGAAATCAGTGGCAACCTTATGACCAGTGGCCATTTTTTCACAGACCCTGAATAATGCAACGTCTAATTGTGTGGACTTAAGGCATCACACCATAAATCAGAGTCACTGTGTTTGGCAATAGCAGTAATAGTTTCGAAAGTATTAAAGCACATCATGAGAGAAGGTCGAATGACTCATGAAACCCATTCTTTCCACAAACTGTTAAATTTCGCTTAATGTGGGAAACACTCTACCCACTCTCTCTTAACCAAAGTTGGCTTCTGAGCAAGGTTTAATCGTGACAAAGGCATCAAACTTTTTGCTGAATACAAACCTCAATGTAGCTCGTCAGCCAAAAGCATTTGGGATCCGTGTTCTCAACTGTAAAGAGGACATTTCCACGAGGAATGATGCTTCCTTCAGGAACAGCTTTAATCTGGATTGGTAGGTGGCCATTGTGTTTCTAAATAAAATTGTAGTGCATTTGTAGATTAAACATTTCAGCTTCAATTACTGGTTGTGAAAATAAATTACATTGTTCTTCCTCGTTGTTTTAAACAATACTGTGGTCTCTAAATATTGTCCATGCTAAAATCAACCTACTCAGCAGCTGTGCGCAATTGGCTGCCGTGTTTCACCCACAAAATATACAGTCATTTCAATTTACAATATATTCTGTGAAGTGCTTTGAGACGTGTTAAAGATGTGATAAAGCACTATATCAAATGCAAGGATTATTATTATTATTAACCAGGGATTCAAGCCTCAAGATCTGCTCTGCATGACCCGATGCTGCATTTTTCACCAGTGGTAAGTCATTGGGGAAACTTGGTTAAAGGATAGTTTCCATATTTTAATGTTAATCTGGCAATATGGACACACTTGCTTTGCAGTAGAACAGTGTCTGCTTTTATATAAACAAAATGCAAAAACTGCAGATGCTGCAAATCTGAAACTAAAACAGAAGTTGCTGGGAACACTCAGCAGGTCAGGCAGCATCTGTGGAGAAAGGAAAGTGAGTCAATGTTTCTGGTCAACGACGAAAGGACCTTTCCTTTCTTCATGTCTGCTTTTATGTCAGATCCCCAGCATATGATTCCTGCCTGTAATAATCACTTGTTCTGGATTTGTGTAAATGAAGCAGTTGAAGCTGTCAAACTAGTCGGTTTAGTTTCTGGACTAATATCATGTTTCAGTCAAATGGCCTACAGAATTATACTGCTCAGAACTAACAATGGCTCAATGAGTAATGGAAAAAATTTTATTTAGTATTGCGTTTCCTCTATCTTTGTAACAAAAGTAGGAACCAGTTAAATGTTAAAAATATACCCTGCCATAGTGGTTTATGCTGAAACAAATCTGCAGAAGATTATGTTGTAAAATGCAACTACTTATTTCTGAAAAATGCAAAAGAACCTGCTGAACCAGGGCTGTGCTGATTAAATCAACATAAAAAATCCTAGTTTCAGCCAACATTGAGGAATTCAAGTACGAGATCATTGCATGTTTCATTCTACATTTGAAATGCAAAACTCGAACCACAACAGACATGGCTCTGAACATCTGCCTCAATGATCAGATGGAATTATTCGATTTCAGTAAAAGAAAGTTATAGTTTGAAAGATAGCTTTATTTTTACCTTTAAAATGTATCTCCAACCTTCCTCAAAGATAGGTAGCTTGAGATGCAATTCATAGATCTGTTTGGCCTGTTGGATCTTTTCCTCTGTCACCACTGGACCTATGTAGGTTTGACATGAATAATTATTAACAACGCTTCAGGACAATGTGCTAAAGGTGGGAACTTTTTGCTGAGACTGAATGCTGTAGTTTTTCAAAAAGCACCTTAAAGGATTCAAAATAAAGGTCAAAACTCAGAATAATTATAAGATTGCAATTACATTGATCTTTTAAAAAAATCTTTTAAAAAAACTACAAGTTCCATCAATAACACCAGCTTTTCTCACCGTACTGTGTTCTGAGACTTGTTTTAACTTATCAGCAATTTAAAAATTCTTTTGCACCCACATGGAGTGCTTTGATGTCCCACATACTGGTTTCAGCTTAAACAGATTTTCCCTCTCATGTGGATACAGAAGAGAATTTCAAATCGAAACTTTAGAACCGGTTTTAGTTTTAAATCCTTTTTTGTGCATAACTCCGGCTGGGCTTTTTAAACTAGTATAAGCCTTTATGTGGAGGTGGTTTGGTGCGTTATTCCAGTAAATTATTTAGCTCTGAGGAATGGTAGGAGCCAGGGTCACATCCATTATTGCACGCAGGCCGTCAGCGGGAGGCACAGAGCAGAAATCAGTCACTGCTCTAGAGAAGGAGAGTCAATTTATTCTGCTTTTACCAAACATTCCAACAAATGGTTCTGAAATGTCATTGCCAAAGGCTTAAGAGCAATTCATATATCCATTCTCTTGTTCGGGGTGGGGGAATGCAATTCATATATCCATTCTCTTGTTCGGGGTGGGGGAATGCATGGAATGAGGAGATAGGTGTGTACTTGGACTATAATGTGCAGCATTCACATAAAAGTAATCACGAGCCAAGTCACATTTAGCATGAACTGAAAGTTAGTGTTGCTGAAGGTCAGGAATAGAACATTTCAAAAGGGTCACTCTCTAAATTCTACTCCTCCTGCACTGACTGAACTGAACCAGTGCTATATTTAGAACAAAAACTATGATACAGTAGAATATGAATGACAGTGGTGGCTGTACTCTTCTCTTCATTACACAGCTGCCTAAATGATTTGGATTATAATGTGAAAAAATGACACGGGTAAGTGGGGAGGGGCTGGAAAGAGACTGGAAATCTTTTAGAAAGAGAAATCCTCTTTCACCCCCCACCCCCATAGCTGTTTTTTGTGCAATTCCAAGTGGTACCAATTCATCTGAGATATTCCACTGCTAAATTTCATTCCCATTGAAGAGATGAACCACAGCTGCAAACTTATATCAAGGTTTTAGTGACTTTTCAACTTGTTAAGCATACAAGCCACAACGGTTGCCAATTTTATAAGTGGATTCCTACTGGTATTGTAGGAAGTAAATTGAAAATATTTTTTCAGCACAGCCATCTGCCAGCTCCAGAAGTTTTGGGGCCAGTCAGATTGACCACAATGCTGTTTTCGGCCACTATTGTTTTTACCTAATGGTTACTTGCTTTACAGTGAAATTGCTGGGCTTTGACTCTAGTGTTGGTTTTCATATTGCACTGAAGACATGCATGCATTGAATTAAAAGTTTACAGATTAAAATGTGTAATCCCCTTTTTTGCAAACATTTGTAATGGTTACAGTAGAAGCCAAAGGAAATAAACCACAAACACTGCTTCTGTAATCCATTCACAAAGCATTATATAAAAATAATTCTGCTAGATTGGAAAGTCCGATTTCATACTTGAACATCAAACTACCTTACAAAAAGGATTCTACTCAATTGCTATACTCCGTTTTCAATAAGTTTATAAACTTCTATAAATCCACCTACAAAATACAGTCACTGCACTTTACCACATATCCTGTAAAGTGCGTTCTGACATCCTCCTGATGTGAAAGGCACTATATCAGATACACAGATTATTATTATTAATCATTATTATAAACAATGAATACTTGCTTAATTTATCAGTATAGAACTTTTACTTTTATAGCAACGTAAAAAGTGAGTTGCCTAGAAATTGACATTTTCATGAAATTGCATCTGAATAAATTTGGCAAATTCTGATAGGAAAGTTACCAGTGTGCCCATAATCCTACACACTGCCATTCTGTCATTTAATCAGTGTACCAACCAGATATCCTGAAAAAAAGAGACTGCAATAGCCAATTATATCTTTCAACTTAAAGGACATCAAAACAGAATTATATCCATACTCCTTATTCAAATGCCATTTTTAAACAAAATTGAAGTCACTGTGAAATGAACTTCAAAATCGAATATTAAAAAAAAATCTGTCATTTAACTCCAAGGAACAGCAAGACCTCTTAGTTTATTTTGTTATCACAATGAGTGAGGTAGAGGGCAGATAATTCTGCTAAAGAGGCTTTGCACAACCCATGCCAGAAGATCGTCCACACTGGATTTGATCCTGCACAAGCATATTTAACACAAATTCATCACAACAGAAGCCAGAACTCCCATCTAGCGCTGATAAGAAAATATGCATGACTGAATGCCAAAGATCCCTTTGCTAAAAGAAACCAAGCATCTATCTATCTTTGGACGCATTTTATGGAGCAGTCTGAAACTATCATTGTAAACTGCAGTCCAAATGGACTGAACAGACATGCAGTGGAGCACCACTTTACACGTTCCTTCAGAATGTAAGCAAGGAGTCAGAATGGATTTGAATCAAAAGCTCTTTTAGATGTAAAATGGTCATATCCTGCACAAACGCTTACTGGATGCTAACAAATTTCAATGCTTACTCATTTGTATTGCAGCCTATAAGATCTGTCTTTTTTAATAATAGAAGTAGCATTTAGACAGAAATACTTTACCTGATAGATATTTCTTTAAAATATACTGTAAGCCAAAGAATACAGTTTCTTTAAATTCATCTTTTCTGTTACGACATTCAAAATAAGAGTAGAGTTTAGTGGTGTTTGGTGGATATTGTTTGAAATGAGTCACCTGCGGAAAAAGCACAAGAAATAAAGTTACTAGTTTAAATTAACACCACAGGTCTCAACCGGGTCAGAAGGTTGTGGGTTCAAGCCCCATATCAAAACTCACCACTATCAAAGATTATAACCCTCAGATAACATATTAAACTGATGTACCTTCTGCCGGTTCAAGATTCCACACCACTATTCAACAGAGAAGGGAGTTTCTCTCTGTGTCTGGCCAATAATCCTCCTAGTCTATTGGTTACAGTGTAACCAAGGAACTATGGATACAGTCACTTATTCTTTCAGCAAATAACTGAAATGCTTACGAGACACTTTGACATCATAAATATTCTTTCAAATCCACAGATTATTAAGAAGAAAGACATAACCAATAGTTTTCAGGTGATGTGTTTCATGAATACCAGAAAGATTGCAAAGTTATGGACTGAAAGCAATATAGCAATTGTGCCATTTTAAATCTCCAGTTCTTAGTCCAGGTTCACTGCAGTTCAGTATTGTGGGAATGTCTGATTGTTGGAGATGCTATCCTCATACCATATTTAAACCAGTATTTTGGTGGTCATCCAAACCCTAATATTCCAGGATTATAAAATATAAGATCAGCAGTTACTCTATACAACACAGAATGAATAATCTGCCAAAATAACTCTTTGTGAATCCTGCAACTTGTTTAAACTTAACTAAGCTTTTATACCTTTTCAGACATTAGTTACCACTAGACAGCTGTGTGAACAGCTGTTTAACACGGAAGCTTGTGAAACATTCATTTTAAAAAATGAATATTCAAGTCTATATTCAAGTCCAGGTCATTTATATAAATCAAAAAGAGCAGTGGTCCCAATACCGACCCCTGGGAGACACCACTGCACACTTGCCTCCAGCCAAAACAACAGTTCACCACCACTCTCTGCTTTCTGTCTCACAGCCAGTTCTATATCCATTCTGCCACTGTCCCTTTAATACCGTGGGCTTCTATTTTACTTACAAGTCTCTTATGTAGCACTTTATCAAACACCTTTAGAAAATCCATATAAACTACACCAACTGTACTACCTTCATCCACCCTCTCTGTTACTTCATCAAAAAACTCTATCAGGTTTGTTAGACATGATTTGCCTTTAACAAATCCAAGAGTCTGGATTATAATTTTAAAAAAGTTCTTTCAGCTCACTGGGTTTAATTCTAACCATCTGTTTCCTGTACTTATCAATGTATTCAACTTTAATTCTAAATGAGAGATTTGTACATTTTATGTAAGCCCAGCAGCAGTGGAGTTGGAACAGAATAGAATAGAATTTATTAACTGCTGTTATTGATTTATTCTAAGATTACTTTGTTGTTAACGTAATTGGAATTCTTTCATCTGATATAGCACCTTTCACATCAGGAGGACACCTAAAAGCAAAGTTTACTTTGAAGTATAGTAACTGCATTTTGTAGGCAGAAGCCACAAGCATTCGAATATCTGTTCAAAATAAGTATTTCCATTCAGGATGTGTGAGGGTCGAGATAAAAAATTAAACTTTATTATTGTACAATATGCTTTGCAGCTCAAGACTTCACTCTTGAGAGACTGTAGTGCACCACTCAATAACCAACATGTTTAGTCTCAATTCACCTAAACCCAGTTCTAGCACCTTTCTTCAGGCCAAATTATTGAGCTCCCAACTTCAACATGCAACAGGATTTTCAGTATAATTGCTTATTTTACATCTTATTCCCCCAACCTTCCCTCATTTGAAATTCTTGAAATGTCAGCATCTATAATATATTAATGAGTGCACATAACAGCACATGTAAAAGATGCTGGTTGGGCCAAATGCAATGCAGAGACAATACTGCACATAACTCTGCATTTAGGAACAGACAATTTCAACCACTTTGTCCTATTGCTGTATAGGTACTCTATAGGTATTGCATCTGTGGAGAAGGCAGCACCAGCTCACTCCCCCACTAAATCCATCCTAGTTTGCTGAACTGAAACACCACATGACTCGAATGAATCAACAAAAGATATTCTTTTAGCCCCAAGGGAGAAAACTGTAGTTTAGTGACAATGTGTAAATCACATGAGGCCAATCCCACTCGTCATATTTTACTGTTTGCTGTTCGACTTCTATCAGTCAGTTTAATGCATCGTTTCCTAAGAAATTAAACAGAATAATTGCCCTTTTCCACTTTTTTTAAAAAATCTCTTAAATACAGCAATTGTATTTCTAAGAGTAGCTCCTGTTACAAGCATCATACTCACACTGAAAGCCCTGCTTAGAAAGATTGATTTAGATGAGCAGGTGCACCCCTCCAGGGGGACAGCGCGCAACCCGATATAACAACCCATCCCTGCAATTCTCATGTGTAGGCACATGGAAATCTCAAGTTTATTTTGCATACTCCGCATGGATCAAACACGAGTTGTCTTTCTATTTATTGAATGCAAAGTATACATTGTTATGTGTAGGTCACTGTTCATTGCACTACGGGTCGAAGAGGAACTGAAAACGATCAGGATCCGCTTACTCCAGGTGACCTGCGGAGATGCAGAGCTGTATTTTTTTAAAAAAGTTAAATTTACCTGAATAGTTTACCATTCTGGGGAAAACGACACTGAAACCACTTGCGTGTGATACTTTAAACCAATGTATTAACAGTTCAACAGGATGGCAAACTAAACCGTTCTCAACATGACATCCCACTGCAATACTGAGGCCAAGAGAGAGGGGGGAGAAGGGCACACGTCTGAGCAGTAAAACCTCAGATCCATATACTGTAATAACACGTACAAAATCTCACTAAAAGTGCTTCAGAAAAAAAAACTTCTTGAAAGAAATAGAACTTCCAGAAAAAAATAAATTTCTGAAAAATAAACTTATGAACTTCTAAACTGTTCAAAACAAACTTCCTAAAAAAAACTTTTTTATATAAAAAAAGGAGGAAAAATCTTCTTACAAAAGATAACACAGTATCTCAGTAGCTGTTTATTTGTAAACCACCACCACCACCATAGTGTAAGTCCAACTTCAGCACAAAAAACCCAAACTTCTGAACAAGACAAAAACTTTCCGCGTCTGTCAGTGAGACAGTCAGCAGCCGCCCTGCCCTGCCCTGCCCTGCCCTGCCCGGGCTGCCCTGCCCTGCCCTGCCCTGCCCGCCCTGCCCTGCCCTGCCCTGCCCGCCCTGCCCGCCCGGGCTGCCCTGCCCTGCCCGCCCGGGCTGCCCTGCCCTGCCCGCCCGGGCTGCCCTGCCCGCCCCGGGCTGCCCTGCCCTGCCCTGCCCGCCCGGGCTGCCCTGCCCGCCCTGCCCTGCCCGCCCTGCCCTGCCCGCCCTGCCCTGCCCTGCCCTGCCCGCCCTGCCCTGCCCTGCCCTGCCCGCCCGGGCTGCCCTGCCCTGCCCTGCCCTGCCCGCCCTGCCCTGCCCTGCCCGCCCGGGCTGCCCTGCCCTGCCCTGCCCGCCCGGGCTGCCCTGCCCTGCCCTGCCCTGCCCGCCCGGGCTGCCCTGCCCTGCCCTGCCCTGCCCACCCGGGCTGCCCTGCCCTGCCCTGCCCTGCCCTGCCCTGCCCACCCGGGCTGCCCTGCCCTGCCCTGCCCTGCCCTGCCCGCCCGGGCTGCCCTGCCCTGCCCTGCCCGCCCTGCCCTGCCCTGCCCTGCCCTGCCCTGCCCTGCCCACCCGGGCTGCCACATCAACTGCGGCCAGTGGTGTCTGTGCCAAGTCTGACGATGGCCCCCGTTTGCCAGTGTTACCTGAGGTGGAGGGGCAGCGCGGAGCCCCCACTGGGTCAGGGTCTCCTGGTGACCCGAGCGGATACTGTACCTTGTATGAGTCGGTAGCCAACAGCAGGTTGAAGCCGCACGAACTTGCAGCCATTACTTCCCTTTATGTTTCTTTGAACGATAATAATATCTTTGCTGCCGCAGCGCAATCCTCTGCGCTCGGGCTCCTACCCTTGATTTGAGTGTGAGGGACTCTGGCTGCGAGCTGGTGATGGAGCCGCCTCCCCGCCCCTCCCTCCCTCCCTCCCCCCCTCCCAGCGCGGGCCACTCACTGCCACAACGTCAGCCTTTGCACAGCCTTTCTGGAGCGTCACAGCCCTGAACAGACACTCAACCAGAGTTACACCGTAAACTCTCACCATTCTTACCCGAGAGGTCAGCCTGACCTCCTCCCTCTATCCAACTCATTCAAAAAAAAGTAACTCAACACAGTCACAACACACTCATGTGTTATCTGCCACAGTCTTCAGTCTCTGTTTGAAAGGATGAACAATGAGACTATGTCATCTTCCTCATCATGAAGTCTCAGACGGTTTGACAGCACCGGGTTTGATATCATTTCTTTGTCTGTCAGCCAGTAATCGCCAATAGCCTGAATTCAACCCTACTTTATTTTAGAAAAAAACAATATCAAGTGTTTACTTTGGTGTCAGCTTAGCTGGGTTGGTAGCTCTCCTGTCTCTGGGTCAGATGTTTGTGGGTTCAAGCCCCACATTGGGACATTGAGTCCTGTAGCTCAGCGGTTAGAGCATTGCCTTGCAAACGAGAAACTTAGGTTTGATTCCCGGTAAGACAAAACGCTGGGCAAGTTTCCTTACTCCACACCTTCTGTTTACCCAGCAGTGAGTAGGAACCAGGTTGTTACTTGATTGGCAGATTGCTTTCCCAGAGATAATAATTCCTTCAAAAATTATAATAATAATAATTTGGTCACTTCAATCCACGACTGTTTGTGGGACACTGCTGTGCGCAACTGGCTGCCACATTTCACCCACAAATATACAGTCAATTCACTTTACAGTATATTCTGTGAAGCGCTTTGAGATGTCTGGAAGACGTGATAAGGCACTATATTACATACAAGAACTATTCAGGATTATTATTATTGAGCTCACAGTTCACAGGCTGATAATCCAGTGCATGCTGGGGGAGAGCTGTATTATCAGAGGTAATATCCTTTAAATAAGTTCCTTCTGTGTCTATTTTGCACAGATGGAACTTATCTAAAGTTCCCATAACGCTACTCAAAAAGAGAAGGGAGTTTCTCTCGGTATCTTGGTCAACACTCCAAGAAAACACTAGTCATTCACTTCACAGTTTGTCTGTGGAACATTGCAATGTGCAAATTATCTGCTGTATGCACCTATGAAATACACAGTCACTACACTTTAAAGTAAATATTGTGACTTGTTTTGACAACATGATAAGGCACTACATTAAATGGAAAAGTTAATTATTGTGATAGGTTGATCTGTTGCTGTGGAACTCAGGCGCATGGAAGTTTTATTTCTAACTGTTATGACTCAAGGTGGCTTTAACTTTTTATTTGTAAATTACCTCATGATGTGGGTTGTGGTAGCATAATCGATTTCAGTCAAGGGAATACTGTATGACTTGTTTTTCACCAGTGTGACACCACATCATGTGATATCACAATGAGTATCATTCATGGATGAAAGTGTGTCATCCACATGTATGCAGATGACACAAAAATCCACCTTGCCTCCTCCAGTACCAACTCCAGGTCCGCCGATATTCTATCAGCTTGTCTGGAAGCCATCAATACCTGAGTGTAAACTTCCTCCAGCTGAATATGGACAAGATGGAAGACATACTCCTGGGTTCCCGTCAACCTCTTCACTCTTGCAGAGTGAAGAGGTTGACGGGAATCAACCTCAATCTCCCTGACCCGGACCAAACTCCGTACCTACATCTCACCAGTTCTGCCCAGGCTCCACTGGCTCCCCATCACTGAACAGATCAACTTCAAGATCCTCACACTTGTGTTCAAATCCCTTCATTCTCTGGCACCTCACTACCTCTCCGACCTCCTCATTCCCCAATCCGCCACCCGGCACCTCCGCTCAACTGGCACTGGCTTCCTGCTCATCCCTCGCAGCCTCCGTCCCACCATCGGAGATTGTGCTTTCAGCCACTACGTACCAAAACTGTGGAACACTCTCCCTCAATCCCTCTGCCTTGCCCCCTCTCTCCACTCTTTCAAGTCCCGCCTGAAAACTTTCCTCTTCAACCGTGCTTACGGCTACCTCCCCCCCAGCTTGGAGTCAGGCTCCTCCACTGTTAAGAGCTCTGAGAAGCTACCCTGCGTGGAGGGCGCTATATAAGTGCAAGTTGTTGTTGTTTTTGTGTCACCCATGACTTTCTTTCCCCACTGACTCAGCCAAATGAGCCCAATCCACAATCTATGTTTAGCCCCATTTGTAAAATATTTGCAAACAGAAAGACAGTTGTGTAAACCGGCTTGCAGATGATGGATGAAAATTACACAACTCGGATCACAACTAACGTAACTCATTCATCAGTTTATGACCCCACGTTAATCAGTTTCATTTCTGTAAAAGCACCCATCTGTAGCATTTATCTGCATGTAAATGTTGAAACCTAATAGGATTGCTCTCTCTCCCAGGATCTAGATTATCTGATACAAATCAAAACTAGGTCATTGTTTTATATACGTTTAAGAAAATTATGGTTTCAAGTGGAGACAGGCTTCAGGAGAGGGGTGGGGATGGAGTCCAGGAAGCACGTGGTCAGGATATGGTAGTGATGACAGAGTAGGGGGTGACAGATTCAAAGGTGTGGAGGAGGGATGGTTAGTGGTCGGAGTGTGGGCGGGGGGTAGGGAGGGGCTGGAACTTGGGACGGCAGTAGCAGCTGAGCGGATTCCCTCGATTTTGGACTCAAGGAAGTCCAGCAGTTCCTCGTAGTGGGAATCAGAGGAAAGAATGTGTGAGGCGTGGCGGGGAGGGCGGAGGAGCACAGGAGCCTGGGGTTGCCCTTCAACTCCAGGATTAACCTGGGGTAGAAGGACAATTTGGCTGAGGCGATAGCGGATTTTGATGTGCCGGATTTGAGCCAAGTGCATTCAGCAGGCTGTGCCTGGCCCTTGAGCGAGCGGAGGTGGCTGGTGAACCAGGGTGAGGATCGGGAATAAGAGGCAGTTCGGGTTGTGAGGGGGGCAAGAGCATCGAGTGTGATGGAGAGGGTGCTGTGGAGGAGGGTAAACGCAGAGGATGGGTTGGTGTGGGAGGTGGGCCAGAGGGGGATGAGTTCAGAGGACTCCAGGGCAGGGGAGAGGGATTGCGGGGAGATCATCTTCCACGGGCGGTAGAAAATGGTGGTAGGTTTGGTGGCAGTGGGGAGAGGGATATAGGAGTTGAGGGAAATAATAATAGTAATAATAATAATCCTTGCATTTGATATTGCGCTTTTCACGTCGGGAGGACGTCCCAAAGCGCTTCACAAAACACACTGTAAAGTGAATTGGCTGTATATTTGCGGGCGAACGCGGCAACCAATTGCGCACAGCAATGTCCCACAAACAGTCGTAGATTGAAAATGACCAATTATTTATTGTTTTTGGTTTTGGAGGGATTATTATTAGGTGTGTGGAGTAAGGAAACTTGCCCAAGGTTTTGCCCTGCCTGGAATTGAACTTAGGTCTCTCACTTGCAAAGTGAGTGCTCTAACCACTGAGCTACAGGAAATGAAATGGTGGTGAGAGATGGCCTTGTCAGTGATGGTGACATCCGAGATGCTGAGGGCCTGGGTGATCACCAGGTTGAGTGGGTGGCCGTGAACGTGGGTAGAAGAGTGGATGTGGAAGGAGAGATTGAGAGAGAAGAGAGAGAAGTCTGAGGAGGTGGAGCAAGAGGGGGGTCAAGTGGAGGTTGAATTCGCCGGGATGATGAGGTGGTCGGAGCAGAGGCAGAGGGAAGCTAGAAGGTGATGTCAAAGATGAAGTTGGGGGAGGATTTTGGGGGGCAGTAAATTAGGAGAATTTTTAGAAAGAGATGCAAGGGATGGCGGAGGGTAAGGTGTTCAAAAGAGGGCCATAATATCAATGATCTCATTGAAGATGAGATCATTGACGGCCAGGGTCTTACTGAAGATAGCGTGGACGTTTTGAAGGCCAATGCGGAGTGGACAACTAGTTGGCAGGGGGATGTGTGGGATGGGAGGGGCTAGTGGATTGGTTGGCAGGGAGGGTGGGGATGCAGATGAGGGAAGAGAGGTTAGCCCCCGGGGTCTGGGTCCGGGGTGGCTTGCGGCGGTAGTGGGGAATGGGGCAGTCGATGTGGCTACTGTTGGACAGCCAACGCTGAGTGCCGCGTTGAGCCCGGCGGAGGATTCCCAGGCTGGAGCAGAGGGAGGCAGTGGGTGGGGTGGTGGCGGGGGGGGCATCAAGCAGAGATAGGAGGTGGGGAGGGCGGAGAGAGAGCGGGAGAGTTGCAGGGAGGGGGCATTTCAAGGGAGGGCCAGCTTGGGTCGAGGGCGGCAGCCAAGATGCACACACTTGGACAAGAGGCAGCGGATTAGTGGCACATTGTCAGCCTGCAGGAGGCTGTGGGGGATAGAGGTAGCGCAGAGGGGGGAGGGCGCTCATTAAGATTAGCAATGAGCAGCCTCCAGGGCAAGGATAGGGGAGGGAGACAGACAAAGGATGGGAGGGAGACACACTGGTATAAACTATACTATACCTGCTACCAGGGATTCAAACCTGGCGGGCGGAAGTGATGTCACACAGAATGGCAGGAAAGTAAAAAATGGCGGCTCCCCCTAACAGGTAATGGCTGCCGCTCGATCCCCGAGACCCCAGCCCCGAAACACCCGCCCCACCTCAGGGTCCACAAGACCCCGGCCCAGCCTACAGCTATCGGCTGGCCCCTGCCTCTGGCTAATGCCGGTCCGGATCCCCAGGACCCCATCCCTGCCTCGAGCTATAAAGTGAATTGATTGTACATACAATCAATTCACTGTAAAGTGAATTGATTGTACATTTTGTGGGGAAACGCTGCAGTTAATTGCACACAGCAGTGTCCAACTAACCATCATGGATTGAGTGACCAAATTATCTTTATTATTTTTTGAAAGGATTATTACCTCCTTATTATTAATAAATTTGTGGGACACTCCTGAATGCAATTGTCTGCTGTGTTTCGGCCACAAAATATAAAGTCAATTCATC